TTTCTTTCTGCTTCTTCCAAGCAGATTCAATACCAAGATCGATAATCTTCAACCTGTTGAACAAGCGGGGTTCCTCAGGGCAGGTTTCTCAACAAAAGATAATATTCATGCATTGCGACAATGGAAAAATTCAACGAACTCAACGGACCATTATAATTAGCCTTCGTTGATTACTCTGAAGCATTTCATAGAATATTACATGATGCAATATAGGGCATTAAACAAATGTCACGTCCACAAAAAGTGTCAAAACATCCTGAAAAAATGTATATGACAAAAGTGCTGTACAGTGTGTGAAACTAAAGAAACGAGGACCGAAACCTACGGTTTCCAACTGTTTTTGAGATAAATAAAGTATCACATATTTTACAATTAGCGAAAAATAAAGTATTTGGAAGAAAAAAAAGTATTTTTTAAAATTTTATTTATTTCTTCTTTTGAAGATATATTTTTGAATGCATCTAGCACACTTACAGTTTTTCACCTATACTTAAATGTTTGGAAGCCATCTATGCATGGGCAATTGTAAAAAAACAATAACTCATTTTTATTGCTTCCTATTTTAAAACATACGGTTTTGACTTAGAAGTGTTGATGAAATTTCGGTATAATTTATATAGGTACATACATTGTAAGGTAAATGTATGTACCTATATGAATAATTACCGAAAATTTAATTAGTCTTTATGTTTAGATTATGTATTTGTGCCATTTGCTGTTGAAACTTTAGGTCCGTGGGGCCCCGCACTTCAAAATTTTTTAAAAGTTTATGTCCTAGGCTTAACGCCGCGGCTGGTGACAAGAGAGCTGGTTCTTTTCTCGCTCAAAGGTTAAGCATAACTATTCAGCTTTCTTCGCACCATGCCGCGTGGATTAGGTTTATTAGATAATATGTAATTTTAGATAGATTTAATCTTGTAAATATTAGATCAATAAAGATTGTCTTAATTACCGAAATCATATTTTACTTTGAATATGTATATTTTATTTTATGGATCGCAATAAATATTGAAAATATAGTGTTTTCACATACCTACTTTATTTTTATGCAAAAGTATAAAGTATATTTAACAAAAATAAAGTAAAGTACGTTATTATAATGTATGGTTGGCAAAAGTACAGTAAAGTAAAGTAACAGCCTATACATGTCCCACTGCTGGGCAAAGGCCTCCTCTATACAGAGGGTATCAGGGCATAGTCCACCACGCGGCCCCACTGCGGATTGGCGGACTACACATATCATCGAAATATTTTTTTATTTTTTTTGTTATTATTTCGATAATATGCAGGTTTCCTCACGATGTTTTCCTTCACCGCAGAGCACGTGATAAGTCAGCACTTAAAGTTAAAAACTTCATTGGTGCCGGCACCGGGGATCGAACTCAGGATGCTCGAGTATATTGAATTAAAGGCGAGCGCCCGGACACTGAGCTATCACGGCATGGTTGGCAACCCTACCTCAATCCCCCAAGATTTTCATAGTAGTGCTGCAAAACATCTTCGAGGACCTGTTATGGAAAAACGAAGGCATTAAATTGGGCAACCGACACGTAAGCCACCTCAGGTTGGCATTAGACATAGTCCTCTTCGGTGAAACCCGATTATAAATATAAACTGTAAATATAAATGTAAACCCGAAAATATAAATCAATTGACCGAAGAGCTGGCAGCTACCTCGGACAAAGAAAAGTCTAGCTATTCAAAGGGGGAACGCTGCCAGTATCTTCGGAACCTTGCCTAAAGGGACTCCTTTTAAGAATATATTTTAGTTATTACAATATTTTTTGTTTTTTTTGTAAGGTTTTTAGTTTTAGTTTCTAGTTCTAGTATATATTTTGTATTAGTTTATCATTTGAATGTTATTTAAGTTTGCTTATAGCCTTTTACTGGATATAATTTTTAAGATGTTAATTTATTTTATTTTATTTATTTATTAAGGCTTACCAACTAAATACATACAGAACATTGAAATGTAAATATGTTTAACTTAATACTAAAGTCGTAAACAATATATGTATTTAATATTTCAATTTATCAAAAATTACAGGTAAACACAACACTTCCAAAACAAACTTGAAATATAGAACAGGAACCTAACTAAAAAAAAAAAATCTTTTATCTCTGAGAAAAAAAAACGAAATTAGGAAAATTGGGAAATTATAAATTTGAACTTAGCAATACTTAGGTTCAACACATTTCAAATAATTTTATAATAAGTTATTATAAAATTATTTGAAATGTGTATATATTTTTTTCTTAAATATGTGCAGTTTTTCAGAATATATATCTACATCACATTTCTGAAAGAGAACATTGTAAGCATTTAATGCAGTAAGTAGTAATTAGATTTATTCTTAGATTTACTAACGCCAAGCATTGCTTCTGCTAAAAACAAATGTAAATCATCAGCAACTCAGGCCGCGAAACGCCAAGACAATCTTTTCGTGCTTCAAATGCTAAAAAAAAACAATGTAGCTCGAAAAGACGAAACGTAAAGAAATACATATAATATCTATAGGAAACGAAATATCTTTCCACGACAGAAACGAAGAAGACGTAGACATTTATTCTACGTCTTCTAGCTGGAAAAATACTGGTCCCTTAAAGAAATTAAGAAAGTTGACTATCCGATCCGCCTTAAAAAAATTGTGACGGATATACTCGTTCTGCCAACTGTCGCGTGTGGATGTCAGACTAGGACCTACAACGCTAAAACAAAAAGCAAAATTAGCGAGTTGTCAGAAAGCGACGGAGAGAAAAAAATGAAATTCGACGACTCCGTGGCACAGTTGCCAAGGTATTGGCTTCTGTGTCGGGGGTCGTGGGTTCGATTCCCAGACGGGACGACACGGTCACACAAATACTAACCAACGAAACGTCACGAAACCAATAGCTCGACAACGGCGCTATCAAACCATATGACCGGCACTAAAAATAAAAATTAAATCCAAAAAAAAATATTCTCCACTGCATTATTTCAATTATATCGCAGTGGAGTTGTATTTATGTTGATCTTCAACCTAACGCAACGATCATAACATTAACCAAGACCTGAATCATTAATATTTAAACAACCCATGTTTTAAATCCCAAATAAGTTTCTCTAATAATAATTTTAATTGCTACGCTTCAAAGAAAGAACCAGTTTAATTTAAAATTCAAATGTAACGAAGCAAATTCTAGCTATAACTAGTTAAGTAATTTTAGTTTTGACAAAAGCCTGTCAGTTAATAGGTACTAGTTTTAACTAGAGAAAACGCGTTACAAATAAAAACTGTAACAATAGTATACCATGCAATACTGACATACAATAAAATAAAAACATTTAAACATACAATTCATGCACAGACAACGTTTTGAACATGCGTTCGTAAGTCTACGGTGGTAGGGCCACGCAACAGCCTCGGCCGTTGCACGAATGGGCAGGCCCGTCCGGGTAAGTACCACGACCTCAAAGAAGACCGGCGTAAAGCGGAAGTATAACAAATACTTTCGCGTTTCGTCTGGTGGGTGAGGTGGCCGGAGCCCAATATTCAAAAGGTTTTCAACGCATCTGTAACCCTCGGGTGTGGCAGACGTCCCTGGGCGGCGGTATTCACTTAACATCCGGTGAACCGTCTGCTCGTTTGACAACTTTTCGCATAAAAAAAAAGTTTTACTGGAAGCTACCCTTAGTCATTGTGGTAGTTTAAGTGAAGACATAGTTCTTTTATGAGTTTCTGCGCTTGCCTAAGCACGGTTTGATAATTGTAAATTACGTGCAGTTAGTTGACTAAGTCATACACAGACTATATATGTCCCACCGCTGGGAAAAGGCATAGGCGTATATAGGGGGCCGGGTGGGCAATGCCCATCCCGGTATCGTCTAGTGCCCACCCCAGGATTTTGGGTTACTGATTCGAAATTCTAGGCTGGATACCTACTTAAGAAATTTGGTAAAAAATCTACAGCCGAGAAATCTATGTAAATGCTTAGTTTTTATTACATACTATTTTAAAATACGTTCCGTTTATTTACCTGTGAATACACAACGTAATAACTACTAATAATAATTGCTATAGTAGGATAAATTAATAAAAATTATTAACGATAACGAACACTTACTTCTTTAATGCTACACAATATAGTGTTTGAATTTTTTTGTAGTAAAGGCCCATGCCCACCCTGAAAATGAAACCTAGATACGCCAATGGGAAAAGGTCCCCTCTGTATAGGGTATTAGGACATAATCCAAAAGCGACCCCACTGTGGTTTGGTAGACTGCATATATCTTCAAAATATTTTTTTTTATTTCTTCGAAAACGTGAGGAAATCACGATGTTTTCCTTCACCTATGAGCACTTGATAAGCCAGCACTTTTTTTTGTGTGAGATGGTGGCAAACGATATGGCGGTTCACTGATTTTAACTGACAACCTCCGCCCATACAAATTTGCACCGCCCGTGGGGTTGCAGATGCGTTGCCACCTTTTGATAAAGTGGGCCCCGGCTACGCCACTCGCCAGACGACACGGAGAAGTAAGCATTACGCTTACACTTCACACCAGCCTGCCCATTCGTGCAACAAAGTAGAGTATCGCGTGGCCCCACCACCGCTAAAACTTAGGTAAATACTGTGCTTAAGATAGTACATTGTAAACATGCATAAAAGATACACAAAGGTATCGCAATTGAAATGTTATGATTATAATATATTTACCGGCAGCGGATGACGCGTGACCGTCGGTTCCTTCGTGAATTTAAGGTCACAATTTTCAACCGAATTAAGACCGGTCCGGAAGAGAAGCAGTAAGGTATGTTTACGTAAATATTTTGGCAATCTCCGAAATGAGAGAAGGGCGCACGGTTGGTCTCTTTCTAGCGCGTCACAGATTAAAAACGCGCGTTTTTCCGCGCGTACGCCGAGGAACTTATATAGCACGGCCTCCATAAGGCGGTGTCAGTTAATTTTCACCGACAATTGTGCTAGACGCGCGCAGTGGTGTGGACGTCCGGTCAGCAATGAGGTCCCAGATTCTAAGACAGGTCGTATTGAATTGTTGGAAATTATAATTAAGGAAACGCGTGTGTGTCCGTATGTACGCACGTAAGGGGCTAACAATTCTTGCGCGTATCGAAAGAAAATTAACTCGTGAGTTTATTCCGTGCTCCATTAATGTTTGTGATAAAAATACATTAAATACAATTGATAACGGTTTAATTGGATAACTTGGTATTGTAGGTTAATGTAGGAAATTTGTTGTTGGTTGACATGGTAACACCCCAAAGTTGGTGTCGCTTCGAGTGTCGCGCGTCGTAAAAGTTCATGATTTTTCCTATACACGCTAAAAGCACTCGAAGTACGGAGACAGAATTGTGGGTTCGCGTATTTATGTGCTAACGGCAACGAAACTCAAGTTGATTTAGCCAGTTGACCACCGATTTCCGTCTCTGTGTTGCACCGTTGCTATCATATTGATAAACGTCAAGGTTTAGTGGTATTTTTCAGTTACGATATCGGAGTAACAGCGTTAACTAACGATTCGCTACGACTCAAATGTAAAACAGATGTCATGGCACCGGGCATAGACAAATTTAATGCTAGTCTAGTCCTGATTCCTGAGTGCGGAATAATTATTGAACTTCTCGTAACCGTTCCGAGCCGTAGCGTCAGCTCCAAAACGGTATGTGTCAAGAGTTTCCACGTACGACCCGCATCCAAAAGTGTCTCGCGTGCATCTTTCTGATATTAACGCGACAAGACGACAACAGTTTTGGGAGATGCATGCTTCGATTGTTCGGACGAAAGAATGAAGCTCACTCACCAGAAGAAACGAGGAACTAACATCACGGTGGTAGGGCCACGCAGAAGCCGGCTGTTGCACGAATGGGAAGGCTCGTCCGGGTGAGTACCACGACCTCACAGAAGACCGGCGTAAAGTGGAGGTATAACACCTTTCGCGGTTTCGTCTGCTGAGTGAGGTGGCCGGAGCCCAATTTCCGAAAGGTTGTCAACGCATCTGGAACCCTCGGGTTTAGCAGATATCCATGGACGGCAGTATTTAATTGATATCAGGTGAACCGTCTACTCGCTTGGCAACTTTTCACATAAAATATAACATCTCCGCTCCGGTCTTCTGCGTCGCAGTAGTTAACCCGACGGGTCTGCCCGTTTGTGCAACAGCGACGAATGTTGCGTGCCCTTACAACAGTAAAAACATCTATCGTGTATATTCTATTACAATTGTGTAACAAACTGACGTTACCCTTTTTTTTATTTGTTTCCAAACTGTTCTAGCGCGCACGAACAAAGAGTAGTGGTCTCTAAGTGATTTAATAGTGTCGAGGGAGGTTAAAAGCGTGGCTGGGTCCGAACCGGAATTGTGGCACATTTAGATAGGATTGCCTACATGTAGGGCTCTTAACTTGTGATCGCATAGATTATGAATGTGGAAGAGGAGTAAGTGAACGGATTGGAAGGATCGGAAACTATATTTCGGACTCTGCGTGCTCTTCTAGGCGACAGTAAAGTTTACAGTTTCAATTAACACAAAATAAATCGTTAATCTACATATGGGTATGTCTACTGTAAAACAGACCTATCCATTCACGTATTTACTTGTTTATATGAACTTTGTCGTTTCGTTTATCAAAGACACAATAACTCATTAAGCAGTTAATCTTAACCTAATTGAAACCAAGAACGCTTACTGGCTGATTACTACGCGTGAGTATAGAACATGTTAAAAATACAAGTTTAATACAGTTTAGAAATGGAACTGTGCCATCTGTATCCTCGCGAATAATTTATGTTCAAATAGGACGTTTCTTTTAATTATTCAACGTGAACGCATTCCAAGGTCATTCCCCCCGGCTCATTGTGCTGAATCGTTTTCAGTTTAAACACAGAAAATTAAACGACAAAAAGTACCCGCGATATGAATTAGAATTATAACAATAAATGTGCTTTGAAGCTGCATTTAATTGTGTGAAAACCGCATGACTACAAACAAAATACAAAAAAGTGAGCAATCTTGTACTGCAATATAAAAACAAAATCGAAACGGATGGTGAGATAATTTTGAAACCACGAATGGCTTAAAATTGTTAATGTATTTATTTATTTCCTTTGTTTGTTTTTGCATTAACTGTCAAGTATGTCAAGTCAAACTATGCTAAAGTTTGGATAATGTAATATAAGATACGTACATGTTAGTGTTTAGCAGCTTTATATGTAGATATAACTGATTTCACATGTTTGGAAATGACTCTTGCTCTGCACTTGCAAGACCCGTGGCTGCTGCTGATTTTATACCTAAATAAGTGTGTATATATATATATATATATATATATCACAAGACCGCAGAGTTTCTTGCCGGTTCTTCTCTGTGCAGGTCTAGTTTAGTGAACCGGTCGTAGATTTTTTGTTGACGTCCAATAAGAGCTTAAGTTAGGCCTATATTGAATAAATTCACTTTGACTTTGACTTGACTTTGAACAGTATTCACTATTGCACGAATGGGCAGGTCCGTCCGAAGTACTACCAATTCACAGAAGGGCGTAAAGTGGAGGTGTTACACTTCTGCGGAGTGAGGTAACAGGGGCCCGCTTTATTAAAAGGTGACAACGCATCTGCCACCCTACAAGGTGTTGCAAATGTCCATTGGCGGCGGTTATCACTAAGTATCAATAAACCGCCAGCTCGCTAGTCACCTTCTCACAAGAAAGAAATAAATAAGTCGTTCTAATCTTAAGAAAAAATACCAAGTAACATTGTTATTTATACGGCGCTTATAAATGTCCGTTCATAGAATTTTCAAAAGCTTTTTTCGGCCGTTATGAATATTAATATTAAAATATAATGATATTAAAATTAAACTGTAATTATATACGATTTAACGAACATTTAATCCCGTAGACTTGCGCAATATGATTGCACGTTGTGTAAGGTCATTTGTAATCAAGAACTAGTGTTTATACGAGAGCCTGTTTTTTCTATCTGAATGCAACGTCCGTATTGCACCTCTTTTAATTCTTACACAATATATATCTTATTACGTGGAAGCTGATGCTACGAAATGCTAGACGAATATAATTATTTCAACAAATAATTTTATGTTTCGTTACTATTAAATATTTTAGTTGTGCTATTAAATAAATCATCTATTATTCTTTTGGTTCCGTATATAACATACAAAAGGTAAAATTAGAAACCCTTATAAGATCACTCTCTTGTCCGTCTGTCTGTCAGTGTGTCACCACAGATTTTCTCGGGAACGGGTGGACCTTTACGGTGGACCTACCATTTTCGGTATAGAGAGGGGAAATCTTCAAAAGATACCCTAAGTTAGGGCCTAACTTGTTGTCACCTAACTTGACAGGGTTATGTGGGGTTCTTACCCACCAAAACCCCCTCGGTGGCCAACTGCTGTACGTTTAGAGGGACTCCGGGATCTCCTACGGAACGCACCGTTGTTCCTCGATAATGCGCGTGAGCACGCCTCGGAGATGGGTAAACCTCCCCCGATTCCATAGCCACCTTGCAGCAGCTCGGACCACTTCGTGCTGCTACCAATCCGTGTCCCCTTTTGGTCGCCTTTTACGACAGGCAGGGGATACCCTAGCCCTATTCAATGAGCCCGGGACTACAGGGCTGGGGCACGGGTGGACCTAGCATGTGGACCCAGCCTAGCAAGTTTAACCAAAATTGACAATTCTAGGTCAATCGGTTGCAACGCACAGGTTGCGTCGAAAACGGATATAGTTCCCTCTGAACTAGAATCACGATTCAGCAAAAAGGAAGGTCTCATACAAATAAAAAGGCAAAACACCAAAAAAATACATAAAGTTGAAAATTAAATGGTGTCCCCATACATACATTGTTGCTCCAATTAAGCTTGATAATCTCAAACACGTCTCACGTTTCAAGACGTAGCAGCCAATAAAAATTATGCTGATTTTAATACGGCGGTATAATAATGCATGCAGTTCACTCGGCGCGGGTTCGACTCGCTCCTGACCGGTTTTTTCTATTATTTATGTCTAACGCCCTGTTACTGAAACACTAACGCCCAGTTTCTGAAACACCGATCATCGTAGATGTCTACTAATCAGCTGTCAAATGGCATTTCAAATTTCATTTTAGTTGCCAAAAGGATGGTTAAACTCTCTGAATTGACAAGAAAATCTTAATGATCAGAATGATCAATTAAAGGGTTAAGTAGTTAGTGACCATCCTTTTGGCAACAAAAATGACATTTGAAAAGCCATTTGACAGCAGATTAGTTGACATCTACAATGATCAGTGTTTCAGAAACCAGGCGTAATCATGGTTAAACTCTCTGAATTTATCAGATCAATTCAAATAGTTTAATTTTTGCAACTAAAATGACATTTGAAAAACCATTTGACAGCTGATTTGTTAATGATACGATGATCAGTGTTTTAGAAACCGGGCGTTGGACTTTGTAATTAAACTAAAAATTAGTTTTAAAACTTTTGCTTAAAACGCACAGAGAAAGCAAAAAAGCCAAAGATGCAATTTGCATCTTTGGCTTTTTAGGGTCCCGTACCCAAAGTTTAATACGAAACCGTATTCGCTGTCTGTCTGTCCGTCAGTCTGTCTGTGTGATAGTAAGACAGTTGAAATTTTCACAGATTATGTATATACGTTGCCGAGATAGCAACAAATACAAAAAAGCAATAAAAATATGGGGCTCTCCCATACAAAAGATATGCGTGCGTGAATCCGACTCGCACTTGGCTGCTTTTTTAAGCTTAGCAACCCTTATTAACCCTAGCACTCCCTCCCCCCATTCCGCCTACTGTGTAGCTCGGCCGAGCGTTTGCTTAACGTGTATGTCTATGGTACGATTGTACCAAGCTCGCACGGATGGATATTATAATATGATATTATAATGTTATATAATAAATATTATATGATGGAAGGTTTAAACAATGAGAAATTAAGGAAAAATTGCATGGAAAATCAAAATAGCAACAATTTTATTCTCCCATACAAACTGTACCTGTCAACTATGTCTGTG